TAAAAAAAGTAAAAAAACAAAGAAATTTAACCATTAAACTACAATGGAGGGAGCACAAATAATTTGTGCATTGTGATAAACTGATAATTAAAAATATGTTTATTTAGAAGTAATCTTTAAAAATAACCTTTATAATTATATTTAACAAATAAAGTAAATTAAACATTAAATAATTTTTAAAATTACATTTTTATTAAATTTCTGTTACCTCGCAGTGCAGTAAAGCAATAGTATTTCTTTTTAGTTGGATTTACCTTAGTACAATGAGTGTGGACCCAGCTGCGGCACTGCAGACACTGAATTATGTCTTTCTTACTGTTTTTCCACACATAAAGCAAAACCAATTGGAGTCTTCATCATTTGCATCTGTGTGCATTTTTTCTTTCCTTTATAACGTTTATCTTTAAAACATTCAAGCGTCCGTTTAGAACTGCTAGTTAATACAGTTGCCTTTTTGCACTCTTCCGTAGCTTTTTCGTGATCCTATTGGTCTTGGATCAGCTGATAATCTTGGCAAGGAGGAAATCTGCTGTAGAGCCATTTTGAAGCGCTTCAATCTCTTCTTAGATGGTTTGTAATTTTCATCTTTGTTATTGTCGTCACTATCTTCTGAGTCAGACTTTTTGCCCAAAGATGGAGCTTCTCTTGCTGTTTCTGGATTTTAGAAGAAGATGGTTAGGTAGTGTTAGCAAGAAGCAGAGCAGCAGCAGGAGCAAAGTGTTGCTTTTGAAAAATATGCCAATTGACCGGCCAAATTCTTGTTAAGCGGAAAGCGCTCTGAGCATTAGCAACAGTGTTCAATTAGTGACTGCTCTTCCGTAGGTTTCATCCAAGAGAGATGGAATGTTGACTTGTCTCATCTGATGGCATTTGTACGTATTCAGGAACTTTTCTTGCGTTTGAATGAAGTATGTCTGTAGTGGCCTGAAAAATGCCACGTCAATGCCCCTGCAAACGGTGGGTTGTATGCCCGGGTAGCTGTAGTAACACAATATTGTTTTCTCGTGCAAAGTTCAAGGCTGCCAGGTTTTTATTATGCGTGGTGTGTCTATCCAACAAAAAAGGATTTTTTTATCCTTGCTGAAGTTTGTGTGATTTTAATAATGTTCATATTACATATCGTTCAACATTAATGTAGCTTGTCTCTAATATCTTGACTATGCTTCCAGAAGGGACACCAATCTCAAACGCGGTATTCCATTTCTTTGCTCTGAAGATTATCATAGGTGTCATGTAGATACCTGCAGCACTTACTGCGCGGATCATTGTGGTGTTAACCTCTCATTCGCCACTTGCAACAACGTCTACCTGATGTTTTTCTTTCTGTACAACTATTTTTGTGGACGTTTCTGTACAGTGCTGAATCCAGATTCATTTACATTGAATATCTTGTCAGGTCTAAACCCAAATTTTGCGATATTGCTTTCTAACAGATCAAAAAAATGTAGTACATTATCTTTGTTGAAATCTTTTGCTCTTGTTAGTGAGGTAGCTTCTGGTTGCCGAACAGACAGTTCAGGATTTTTTCGCATAAATGCATTTTTTCTCCGTCAATTTGTTCTCTTTATTGAATGTGTGAGAAAGTTTATATGTTTTTGCCAGATCAAATACTAACTTTCGAACGTCTTTAATGCTCCACCCAAAAAAACACTCTTTTAACATGATAATATAATCAGCTAGAATCTTCTCTATATCTCGAGAGAACGCAGCTTGTCTCCCTAGAACCTTCACAACATTCACATATCGGTTTTTTCATAGCATGTCTCCTTATTGTAGCTTTAGGAATTTCATACACTACATTTATTTAAACGATAGTCTCCATTTTTATATACCGCAACGGCCATTTGCAATTCTGTAGGATGCGGTCATTGAGTTCTATAACATACTGGAGCGAGCCTTTCAGGAGTGGGGATGTCTCCATCGGCGAAAAAGACAGATAGATTTACGTGAGGCTAGTCTTCCTTGTCCAGCGTATGTTTTCAGCATAACGTAAAAAGAGACAGAAATCCTCACATTGCTATATGTGTCCTTTTCTAAATCGCGGACGCAGTTTTCTTTGTTCGGGATAGGAAGGCTCGCTCCAGTATGTTATAGAACTCAATGGATGCGGTGCAGTTTAGACCTTCGAATAACGCGCGAGATAGAGTTAGGCAAGATCCGCAAAGACAATACGCGCAGCGGCGCACGCATAATAAACAAAAAGCGAGCGGACACACGAGTCAGTGCGAGACCATGACGAGCGAAGTAACGACGTAATAACGTGACACCTTTTTGTGTTTTCCTTTTTTTCGCAAGTCACCTTTTTCTTTTATTGTATCCTCGGTATTTAAAATACATTACATCTATAACTTTATAAATCTGGTCGGATTAATACATTCTGTAAATCCTGAATCTTACAACGTAGGGACTTTCGTCCAGGATCAGAAGAAAAAGCGTGTGTTTGAAAAGATGGCGAATAAAGGACAAGACGGCGCATCGATAACAACGGCAACGATGAGCAGTAAGACGTACGACGATATGACGATACCATAATTGAAAAGTGAGTTAAAGACGCGTAAGTTAAAGACGTCAGGTGCAAAAGCAGAGCTGATAAAGCGATTAAGACGATACGACGAAGACGACAATAACGACGTTGAAAGTAGCAACAAAAGCGACGAAAGCGACGACGAATTGGACGAAACAGTGATGAACGCAAATGAGAGAGACGAAGACGAGGACGATGATAGACCGATGAGGTGTATCTTAACCTTCAAGGACGTTGAGGATGCCATCCACAAATTCAGCGGCGACGACGGCAGAAATATTAAACAATAGATAAAAGAATTCGACGAAGCTAAGTGAATGCTCGGCGGTGCATCAGACAATATATGCAAGACGGTTATTGGTCGGATCGGCGCGACTATTTGTGAATCATGAGGTACAAAGGGGAACTTGGAAGAACATTAAGACGGCGTTAAAATCTGAGTTCGCCCCCAGTACAGACAGTCATGCGGTGCATATGAAGCTGCAAAAGAGGAAAAAGAAGACGGACGAAACATATCACCAGTATTGTTATAAAATGTTAGAAATTGCGTTGTCGATAAACATGGAAACTTCCGCGGTAATACAGTATATAATTGACGGTATTGTAGATGATGAGATAAGTAAAACGATTTTGTATGGCGCTAAAACTATTTCTCAATTAAAAGCGAGGTTAGACGCGTATGAATTAATGAAAACTAAAAGTAAAAACGTGAGTAATGTTAAGGTTAGGTCAGATGATTTTAGGAAAAGACAGTCGCAGGTTAGTAAGACGGACGAAAAGACGGAAATTAAGCGCTGTTATAACTGTAGTGGGAAAAATCATCTCAGTGCTGCATGTCCTTTGAAAAAAAAGGGGGTGCTGTGTTTCAAGTGCAACGGACATGGACACATTACAGCAAATTGTACACAGAGCGGATAAAACGAAGGATAAAAACTGTAACGCGGCTCAGAGTAAGGTAGAGAACAATCCGAAGGCAATATGCGATAAGTCTAAAAGAATTTATAAACTTGTTAAGATTAATAATAATAAAGTAACCGCTTTGTTCGATACAGGTAGCGACATAAGTCTCATGCGTGCGGGATTTTATGTTAAGATTGGAGCCCCGAGTCTAGTTAAGCAGACGATTAAATTTTGTGGCGTGGGTGCAGCTAAAAACGTCACATTGGGACGAACTTGTGCGAAGATAGAGACGAACGGCGAGTATTTCGAAGTTGACTTCCATGTAGTCGCGAACGCGCTCTTGAATGATGACGTTCTTGTTGGTTCAGACTTTCTAGAAAATGTCGACATGCGGATAAGAGGTGGTAAAATAATAAGTATTACGAAAGTTGAGAATGAAGCAAATGAGTCTTTATTTATCAATAAAATCAATGTTGTAACTGAGGCAAACAAAGTAGAAGTCAAGCTTGTGAAAAATCCGGATCACAGGAAACAACTTCGACAGATGATATTAGATTATAAGCCAGAAAAAATTAAAGACGTAGGAATTAAGTTACAAATAGTAGTAAAAGATGACGTTCCGATTTATCAACGCGCTCGGCGATTAGCGCCACAGGAATTAAAGATAGTTGACTCGCAGGATGTAAAATCAGTGCAGAGCTTTTTAGGCCTTACAGGCTACTTTAGAAAATTTGTGTCAGGATATGCCACGATTGCTCGTCCTCTGACTGATTTAATTAAAAAGAGTGCATTTTTCGTTTGGCGATAAAAAAGTAAAGGCGTTTAATAGATTAAAAGAGATTCTGTGTAGTGAGCCCGTATTGCGTATATATTCTCCAAATGCAGATATCAAACTGCATACCGACGCATCAAGTCAAGGGTTCGGAGCGATCTTAATACAGCGCGACAGCGAGGATCGCTGTTTTTACCCAGTTTATTTTGCGAGCGTTAAAACATCGGCTGCTGAAGCAAAATTACACAGTTACAAGTTAGAAGTTTTGGCCGTTGTGAAGGCGATTAAGAAGTTTAGAATTTATTTGATCGATATTCCGTTCAAGATAGTCACAGACTGTCAAGCGTTTACGTTGACTCTTAAGAAGGCTGATTGTTGTGCAAAAATTGCGAGGTGGGTTCTTTTCCTTCAGGATTTTGCATACACCATTGAGCATCATTTAGGGAACTGCATGCGACACGTGGATGCTTTAAGCCGAAACTTTCTACCCGCGGCAATGATGGTGACTAGGTGTCAAGAAACAATTGCAGCTTGGATAAGAAGAAGTCAGCTGGATGACGACGAAATAAAGAAGAAAATTTTGAAGCAAGTCAAGCTAGGGAAAGCTATTGCATAAAAGCGGACAGTCGAGCTAGGGAAAGCTATTGCATAAAAAATAAGTTACTACATAAATTAGTGAACAACGAAGCTTTAATAGTTGTACCAGAGCCGATGCAATCCAGTGTCATCCGTCATGTTCATGACCGAGATCATTTTGCTACTGATAAAACGGAGAAGCTGTTAAAAACAGATTATTGGTTTCAGGGAATGCGTTTGAAGATAGAAAAGTACGTGCACAACTGTATTGACTGTATCTTGGCCGAAAGAAAGTCCGGGAAAATGGAAAGATGGCTATATCGTACTCAAATGAAGTTAAGAGAAGATTCTTTGATTAAGGACATTATAGCAACAGAAGAGGTCGCATCACATCAGCAAGAACGTGAAAAGTCTCGTGAATTGGCGAGACAAGCCATAGCTAAGATTCAAGAGGAAAATAAGCGAACATATAATAAGAAGAAGAAAGTTCCACCGCAATATCGAGAAAATGATCTGGTAACCATAAAACGCACCCAAGGAGGACCTGGATTAAAATTCGCCGCCAAGTATTTAGGACCCTACCGCGTTAAGAAGACACTTTGCAACGAACGATATATAGTCGAGAAGATAGGAGAAGTAGAAGGGCCACGCATAACGTCTACGGCGGCTGACCACATGAAGCCCAGGGACAATACATTACCTGAAAAGCGTACATCTGAGGACATATGTCAGTCGGATGGCTGAGTATAGGATGCGGTGCAGTTTAGACTTTCGAATAGCGCGCGAGATAGAGATAGGCAGGATCCGCAAAGACAATACGCGCAGCGGCGCACGCATAATAAACAAAAAGCGAGCGGACACACGAGTCAGTGCGAGACCACGACGAGCGAAGTAACGACGTAACGACGTGATACCTTTTTGTGTTTTCCTTTTTTTCGCAAGTCACCTTTTTCTTTTATTGTATCCCCGGTATTTAAAATACATTACATCTATAACTTTATAAATCTGGTCGGATTATTACATTCTGTAAATCTTGAACCTTACAATTCATTTTCAGTTCTGTCCTCTTTGCGTTATTTTGGATCTAGTTGAAAGAAAAAAGAACGTTTCCAATATGTTTTGAACTACTCGCAATAATGAGACACATCGTGTCCTGCGATGGACCGGACCAATGCAAGTAACTTGTGGTGGTTCAAATTAGGCAACTTGTAGATTACGTCAGAAAAATATGTTTTTATCATTACATTTGTACTGTAATATACAAACAGGTGCATCATATTGTAACTAAGATAATACATTTTACATTAGTAACGTTTAAAATTATGGTATTTACAGGATGTAGAAGAAAATTAATTCGAGATGTCACGGAAATTAATGTTCACACATCACTACTTTCCAGAATTCAGCGAGATTGAGCGGAAAGGCTGCCTCGTTGTTCTAGCACTTTCCATTCTCACTCTTTAAGCCAGTATAGTCAATCACTGACACTGCAAATATCTCTATTTTTTAAAATAGACGGTGGTCCAATCTAGGAGCCGGTCCAAATTCGGCAACTCTTCTCTATTATATTACGAATATTTTATAGCTCTTGAAATTTTGGAAATTAGGAATTCTATTATCGAAGGAGAAAAAGAAACTGGAATATTGGTGAAAATTATTATAAACATATATTAATATATATATTAAAGACTTCTCGAGCCATCGCTGGCTGTTGATGCGAAAATTTTTTTATGTTTTTTATAGAAACTTGATTTGTCTATATGGAGACATATTAAAGTCTACACTGATCTCAGATTCGAGATACTAAAGTGTACGAAAATTACGTACATTGATCTTATTTTTAATATATACAAATGCAAAAGTCGCAATATCTGAAAACAAAAAATACATGACGTAGACCACTTTTATAGTCACTAACATATACAGGGTGTCCCACACTTGAAAAATCGTAACAAAACTTTTATTGAATTTTTTGAGAACATTTATGCTGTAATATTTTGATTCGCGAATTACGGGACATTCTGTAAATCAGACATGTCCAAACGCCGGCTCCGGAGCCAAAGTGGAGAGCGAGAATTTCCCCCTCTCCAGATGCTCGCCGCTCGACTGTCAGCGCGAGGTGCAGTGCGGGGAAAAGAGCCGCCGATCCCTACTATCGAAGTCTCGTGTTCCTCCCTTGCACCTCACTAACAAGTGAAAAGCCTGATCGAACAGTAAAGGAGTATAGAGTAACCCGAAACTGTTCTTACGACCTTTGTATTAAACTGGATGATCTGTTTATAAACATAACTATTTCTTTTGCACGGTAGTCGGAGCGTATGTCGTGACTAGTGTGGGGAGCGCTGAGAGGGATATGATATCTCACGCGACGTCGGAGAAAGGGAAGGCTCCTAGCGAAGTACTCCCCAGGCGTTGGACATGTCTGCTGTAAATATTCTTGCTTGTAAAATATACAATAATCTCATTCAATAGGAACATTAATATACATACTGCAGCTGGTTCTACAATCTAGGAAGAGAAAAATCACTTAAACGGCTAGAAGGTTAGTTTACTGACGTTGGCCAAACCGACCCTTAACCGGATCAATTAGGGGCCATTTATCAGCTAGTTAACGACAAATCCCTAATCATTCGTCTGACGTGGGAGAAATCTTAGCTGGTCTTTGAGAACGGCACTATTTAAATGTGCGTCGTGATCATGTAACGTGAACTGATTTAAAAATAATAAGCATGCAATTAGAGAAGGTGGTCAGTTTATTTTTGTTATTTTCAACAGCGCGATATTTTTATGCGCGTGGCGCGCAGAATTCGCCTTTTCGCGAGACGTGCCATGTTGGTTGGACGAGCGACCGTATTATGCAAAAACACCGAGCAACAGATGGTGCATATGCGTAGGTCAAAGAACTAGAAGTGCTTTACGTGACATTAGCTTCGGTAAGCAGGGTCCGTCACGGCAATTGGAATCGATCGCCGGAGCGCATACATAATGCAATCTTAATTACACAGCGCCGGCGTAAGCGATCATCTAGGAATGCGTGCGTCGATATTTATCGCCGATAGAATTCCATTTCTTTGTTAGGCTACATCGGAATGCCGTGATACGATTTATAATTTATGGAAGGAACAATATTTATGTGATAATCATTAATGTCGACAGATTTCTTTGTATGATGAATAGAGAGCAACGCATTTAAATTATCTAACTATTTATCTACTTATTTCTGTTATCCATTTAGTCTTTTCTTTATCATCTCATGTATATTAGAATATTGGAAAATGTCAATTAAATGGACTTATAGATTTAAATTTTGTTTTTTATTTATTGAAAATAAATCTCTGATTACTATAAAACATACTCTACATTGCTATAACAATACAAAGTCGCTTGGTTACCGTACACATAATAGAATTAAAATAACTAATAAATAGAAATTTTTTTACTTACTACCAAAATTTTTATTTTTTTAATGACATAATTTATAAATATATTGTTTTAATGTCACATGTGTCGTATTATATAGTAGCTTTACTTTGCATGGATTTGGAATTACTTATTAACACATGCGACACAATATGCATGTCAATATTATTATCTGGATAAAATAAAGTATTACACACAGAAAACCATAGACATGTTTATTTCATTGATCATACAAGAGTCAATATTCACTTAAGAGAATTGTTTATCATGAAATTAATATCATTTACATAATCATTGATTTATTCAAAATATAACCATATATAAAGTCTATACGACTTGGTCTCGATTATCACTTCGTGCCACATGTATTCATTGAGATATTGATTTGATCTATTTTCGCGCACGGAGTACACGCACATGTAGGAACGAGGTCAGAGAACCTAAATATCTCACCGACAGTACGGTTATCATCGTATGTAAAATCGTTACGATAAGCTCGATCTTATCGAATGACATTAATTACAATAACGATGTAAATTATATTGTAAGAATTCAATAAGATTATATTTAAGAAATAAAAGAATATATGAGTCTTTTTCAGAACAAATTTATCAAGATCCAAAATTATAAATGGCTATATTATCAAAGTAATCTCTCAAAATAAGCATAGTCCAAGTCGGTAATTCATAATATATTTATTAAAACTAATGTCTCAGACTAGAGTGTGCGCTAAAATGACAAATTTAGCATTAGAGTAGAACTTTATTAATCCTGCAAATATCAATTTTTATTATTATTTGAAATAAATCACAATTTCTTACATTTTACATAAAATGTCTGAGACAAGCGTAAAATAAAAGTTTTAAGAAGCTTATTTTAGTGTAATATATATTTAATATATTGAGTTGTGTAATAAATAATTTTGGACTTTTTAAATAAATCTGTCTATCTTTTTGTCAGGCAAAGTGCAGTTTGACTAACACATAAATATTCGATTGCCGAAATTGTAAGCAAGTTTTGCTCGTATCACTATTTTTTAAGCGTCATAAAAAACAATATCGTCTATTGAAACGTCCGAAATTTGTTACATAATCTCACACATCTTCTAATTTTATGTATTTATTACAAACTTTTTCAATAATTTATAAGAAAATAATTGACCGCTTTTTTATATTTTTGCTGCTTTATTCGACGTCCATATAAAAAATTAATCAAAACTGATTTCGCTTGTATCAATCTACATGAAAAAAAAACTTGGAAAAAATGAAGAAGTCTTACCGTCGGTCGAGCGGATTATTTTTTTTTTTTTTTTGAGTACCGAAGTATTTTATTAGCATATCGTAATTGTCTCGATAGCTTCGCAAATCGATCGATCACCTCTGCGGCCGCACATGAGACGATTTCCGATATCTATGCTTCTCCGCTCCAATAGCGTATACTGATGTTCACAGGCCCTAAGCAAAGACAATTAATTCTTTGTTGTCTCATCTTACTATCAAACAATCTAAATACATAAAAAAGCTAAGTTAATACAGAAATATAATGATTAAATTATATAATAAATACATAATCTGAAAGTAACAAATAAGAATTAAAATAACAAAAATATTAACGGCAGAAAGGCTATAAAAATCAAAACATGGATGTCAAAACGCAAACAATTTTTCAAAATTGAAAATAGGTAGCAACTTACTTTCGGTACAACGGGCAGGCAGGGACGCGCAACGTATAATGAGACTGTCAAGTGTTTACTATCGTCTCATGACGCATTGCACCGTCCCTGCTTGTCCGTTGTATCGGACTCGTAAGTAGCAAACTATTTTCAATTATAACTCGAAAACTAAGCTTCGGACAAAATTTTGTAAAAGGAAAATCGTCTCAGAATTCGCTCAAGAATATGGCATTGCAAGGACATCAGGTTATTTTGAATTATCCTGTATATAAATTAACAAATTATTTATTATCAAATTTAATATATATTAAATAAAAAATTCAACACAATCTATAGATTATTTGATGTAAATTGTTGCATTTATGTTTTTTACACTTTTATCTTTTTTCTTGTTTCTCATTTCCTTATATTCCCATTTCTTGTGTTCATATTTTCTTGACGTATGAGAACCGTTAGTTACTTTACTACTCCGTAGGTGCACACATGTATCTACATTCGAGGTAATCAGGGTGGTGATATGAAAGAACGGTGGCCAGACCAAGTATGCTCGTCTGTACATGTATATATATATATATATATATATATATATATACACACACACACACACACACATATATATATTCTACATAGGCATATATACACATACATACACACACACATACGTATATATACGTACGTACGGAATCTTATCTGCGGCTGCGGATTATCGAATTTCCGAACGTTAGATTAGATTTCTCGACGATCACGCGCGCTCAGCGCTCATACACGGCTATAGCCGGCGTATACGCCGGTTTCTGAAAATAAACGCGTACGAGGATCTTCGTCATCGTCGCCAGTACTCTTCTCGTCGTCGTATATTACGTGTCGCGATTTCAATGTGATAAGTGTAATAACACACAGTGTATACAGGGTGACTTTCGAACGCACGCAATTTCGTGGAGAAGACATTTGTCAAATTAATAAAATTACTTGATGGGTAAATAGAAAATATTTCGCAATAAACAGATTAATATAATTTTAATAATAAATTCGCTGACGAATTTGAAATTGACGTTTTCGTAATGTCAAAGTTAAGGAAAATTATCATTTATTACAATTTTACAATTTTCAATATTTAATATTTGCACAGATAATCTGAAATTAAAATTTTGTTAAAATAAAATCTGCTATAAATAAAAATATGATTTAAATTATTATTGCTTTGAAATTGATGTTCCTAAGAAAATTTAACTTTAGATTATAGAAAAAATAATAAGAATAATTACAATTTGACTTGTTTATCTTAAGACATTAAACATACAAATAGTAATACAATAATTAGATGGAAAATATCTGGAATTATAATTATTAAAAGTTAAAAATGCATTCTGATATAAATTTCTTCATAAGACAAAGAACCAATTAAATCTTAGTTAACTTTATTT